GTATGTTATTATTAAAAGAGATGAAGGAAGTATCTCATTACTGTCATCAACAACTGAATCCTATTTCTGCTGCTCTGTTCGTTAATAAGACTCAAGAAAGCACTTGAATGGTGAAACAAGTTGGCATCTGAATACTATTGATTTCATCCCTACCATAGGCTGTGGTTGAGACTTCTACATCCTACTATGTCGCATGTGCTAATAGTTATAATTGTATGCGCGGCGAGGTAATCGTCTTCATGGAAAATACGAGTTCACTATGATATAGTAGCGAGCCAATTTGATACAAGAAGAAAGGGGATACATGAATATGTATGTTAACCTAACATCTCTGACTACTCCGTATCCTATTCTGCCCTTCCCATCATCTCATACTCCTACCACGAATCTGATTTCATTGCGAGTTGCGTACAACTTTCTAAGCTTAAGCCACGTCCGACGAAACGTGTTCAAGTTATACTCACTACTCCTCACTACGGAGCATGATAGGGATGGGAAAAGGATAAAGATTACGACGAAGCCGTGGCTTAACAGAACTTCGCGAGCTTTGTTCAAGGTCATTAATGTAATAACTGCTTTTTCCTACTATGTTGTCAGCTAACCATTCTAATAATTTGCTTAATTAAATTAATGATACGAATTAAATATCATAAAATGTATTATTACTACTATTATTTATGAAGTGTTTCTCGGAATGAAAACTTGGCAACGCAGAGAATACCATCACCCATTTCTCTAGTCACGTCGTGCGTCTGTACAATTTGTTCCATTCATAAATATTTATGGCAAAATTTATTATTTTTTCTTATACGCTACACAACAATGCACCTGTAAACCTTTTACCATATCGGTTTCTATATGTTTATATTTTATATTCAGAAAGATATATGTGTACTCTCAATTAAATTTAAACCCTTCAATTAAAGACATAATACAATTTCTCAATCATATTAATATATTTAATATTGCATAAAACTACGTGGATTATTACATTATTCCGATATCAGCCACATCCATACTTTTATTCTGGTGCTGACGTCTGAAATTCATTATTTTCTTCTATTAACACGTATTACAAGTTCTTAAAACTTAATTAACATGATATTTCTTTTTTATGTAAGTGCAATTTGCAATTTGACCTCATTTGTTGACCTCACTGGTTGCTAGGCACTAAGGAGACACGGCACGACACCAGTTCGTATTGTCAGAGAGGGAGTTAAGCTTTAGCGATGTTGCCAAGTTGTTTTATGTTAAAAATGCATTATTACAATT